ATACATATTGAATGTGAACAGAGAAAATATACGAAAATAAACTGACGAACTGTACAGTATCGCGTCGAATGGAGTTTACAAATCCTGGCAGGCGCACGATTGAGAGAGAAAGCGAATTGGACATGATGCCGGTTCGTGGTGTCCTTTAGCTGTCTCACACATTTGTTATTAGTACGAGTGAGATACTTCGGTGTCTCTCGCTCGCCAATATTCATAATAAACAACAAACCGGGGTATCTCACTCGTACTAACAACAATGAGATAGGCTGTCTACGAGTGTGTGTGTGTCGCGCGCCGAACGCCGGGAAGACCGTTTCTGTCGGTGTGTGTACACAACAGCTCGTATCTCTGGAAATATTTGTCGGATCGATTTGAAACTTTCAGGAAATATTCTTCTAAAGACCTACTTTTAGAAAATGTCATTTTTGAAAAATCGATTTTTTGAAAATTTTAAACATATATAACCCCTTAATTCGATGTTAAACATTTATAAGTAAGTACAGTCTCTTTGCTGTGTTGTGACCTTATTAATTCAGAGAAGAGAGAGAGATACTAAGGAGCACCTTTACACTGCAGTAGGGGAAAGTGGGCGAATTGTGCGCATCTAAGAGAAATTTATTGTCCTGGAATGATTTTCCAAGTTTAAAGCGATATAAGTATGGAAATAGAAACTATAAACATTCTTCTACCATTATGTATCCTCATATCGAACAGATTTTCATTCAATAAGGTTGTATTGGTAAAAAGGAAAAAACGGAAAAACGAAAAAATTTCTCGCGCGTCGGGTAATTGTGCGCATGGATTGGGTAATTGTGCGCTAAGCAAAAGTCGTAGGAAATGAATGAATTATGGAATATGTTGACAAAGAAATCAGAAAATATATTTATATATTGCAATATAAATATATATTAAATATATTTTAAATATATATTACATATATGTATTAAGCAAAAATACAAAACTAATATAATAATAATACACATAGACTTTGGCAAAATAAAATGGCAAAATAAAATAATAATGCAAAGAAGAAACGAAAAAATTATTGCTAGTCATATAGTATATCGAAGATGGGTAATTGTGCGCACTTCAAAACTTGCTTGCGCACAGTTGCCCGCCGCGACCTGGTTCGATATGAAATACGATTACTTCAACATTTCTTAACCAAACTTAATAAATAACAGCTCAAAAAAATGCACATAATAACATACTTTAATAACGTATGCAACTTTAATCAAACAAATTAGAAAAAAAAATACCAACTTACCATCTTATTTTCTGACTGCTAAAATAACAAGAAAAGATGTGATTTCACTTTTTTGTATTTCTCTGATTAGCAACATATTTATGTCGTATCTTTTGTAGTTATATTTTAAGAGGACGATCTCCTGCGTAAAAATTTCACCACAGTGATGTCTTCATTCATTGGAAAAATATCAAACCAGGATGCGCACAATTACCCGCTGTGCACTTTGTGACCTTGAAGGCATTCTATGTTAGCATTCAATTTTTTTTCTACTTTCATTTGTTCTGTACCTGTTAGGCCGGTTATACACGTTCAAGTAACTTGTCGAGCAAATTTACTTGAACATGTGTGTCAGAAAACTGCACTGTTATTTTGACTGCACAAATGACGTGAACATATATGAAAATTCGTTCGATATGCTTGTGCAAGTAACTTGCACAATAAATCGGAGTGTGCATATGTGTAGTACGCTTAAAGTCCAATCAGAACATCTGTCCGCGCACTTTTTATATTTAGCATCTTCGCTATCTCTTTCTTCAACGCCTGAATATATATTTATTTCATTTTAAATATAAAAATTTTAGGAGATTTCTCGAACAATGCAAACAGATCTTAATTACAGCTTAATTAATGCGTTTAGTCACAATAACAAATTTGATCTCTTGCATTAACTGGATTAGTGTATATCAAAAACTGCTGTACATAAAATTAGCTAAGTTAAATGTAAAAGCGTATATTAAATGCCCAATAATGATCAATATATCAGCCATAGTCAATTATTCTTTTCACATTCGACTGTAATTAGTCAATTCTTACAAATTATAGCACAAATTAACACATTACGACCAATATAAATAATCCTTTACGTTCAATTGTTCTATAAGTAAGGCTGATTGTGAGTTTCGAAATTTAAAATGTGTGCTGCAATTTTTTTGCTGACGAGAATATATGCTTATATAAGCATGCTTCTACAAATTTATTGAAACGTGTAGAAGACAGAATTGTACAGTTATCGCAAGGCACTACATGTTCATGCAATTTGCACAAGCATACTTGATAAGTTTGCTTGAATGTGTGTAACCGGTCTGAATAACATTTGCACGCTCTCTCTTCTCAAGAAACTGTAATCAGTTCACTCTAAAAGTACATATCTTTTCCCCGACGGGATATACGCGTGTATTTTTCATAGATCCATTTACATTTGGCATGGAATATTATCGTTTCGTGATTTGGAAATAAATGTAACAAAACTGTACCGCTTAAAAATTACAGAAATAATTGCTCTTTTTTACTCTGACAGAAAATGAATTCTGTTATTATTTACGTTGATGTTATGCGTAAAATCCTTCACAACTCCTTTACAAAATTCTTTACAAACATTGCAAAAAGCATTCCCATTGATTCATAGTTAAGAGAAAAATGTAAATGCGAGTGTAACTTTTTATTATTCAACGTATGTGTGAGATTAACATAAAAACGAATTACGTTTGCTCGTTTTTTAATTCATTGGTGAATTACTGATAAGCATAAAATTAAAAATGATTGAATTGGTACTAATTCCAATTTATCAGTTTTATTATCAACGTTATTGAAATATAGCTTTTACTCATTTTCGTTTATGTAAAATACAGTATTTTACAAAATGTAATCATATAGAACAATTGTATATCATATAGAACAATTATGAGCAACAATGATAAATGTGATATCGGATTTTTTAGTGATATTTTCTTATGTTTTTTAATCTCGTGGGATTAACAAATTTTGTACATTATTATAATCTTTAATTTTAGTTTACTTATAAAGAACATTTAAATTCTATTGGGAGATAATCCAATTTAAAAATGTACACGACGTTAACTACCGCATTGTGATACAAATTCATAAGAAGCGCGGACGATCTAATAACGAGGAGTGCGATCGCTATCCGTATGGAATCAAATTTATAAAGTATGTTATTGCGTGTGTATGAATATGTAGTTTTATAAAAAAAAAAATTTAATTTGGAATTATAATTATTCGTTTTTGTTTCGGTTTTCGTTTTATTTTAATTTTAAATTAATGTAACATTGAAGATGATTTATTATTATAAGGTCGAAACGTTTGTTTAAATATTTTTAAACTATAGACATTAAATTTCTTATTAGCAAAAACATCCAGCTTGGCTCATTAGCCCTTGACTGTTATTTGTGTTTTATTTAAAGTCTATGTTCAAATATAAATTCCAATTCATGTTTATAATTCACCATTCGAGTTTATATAGGAAATTAATCACAACAAACCTTCTCCGTCGAAGAAGCTACTGTAACTGCCTTCTCATTTAGGATGTGAAACTGTATTGTAGTAGTACCAATATCGAGCGCCGCGACGTATCTCATGATAGTTCACTTTTTTCCAGCAAATTCGAAAATTCCACCTTGATTTATTCACGCATTCACGCATTCACACTCGACTCGATTGTTGACTGAATCGCGGCTGCTTGCACCAACAGGTATCGATTAATATGTGCTGTATAACAATTCTACCTCAAGTATTACAAACAAGAAAAAAAACGTTATGAAAAAAAACCTCGCAATAGAAAGAAATAATGACTCGACCAGTATTCGATTTAAAGTACGTTAAAGGAAATTGCTTATCGTGACTCGACTGTTTTCACGTATGACCTCGTAGGAAGTTTTATTGAGACTATACAGCGCGCTATGTGATATAATGATTCGCTGAACTCCCGCCTCGTACTCGCTACAAGTGAGTGGGGCACGTAGATTATCAAAGCGAGTACATCGCGTCGAGTCTACTTCTTGTCGATTATGGGTCGCAGCACAGACTTTTGTATAATGCTATATAACGTATAAGGCATAAGACATAAGAGACTCAACCAATCAGAGTATGAAATGAAGGACTCTAATTGGTTGATTTTCTTATACCTTAGGCCCTGCGCACAATAGAGGAAATATTAGGAACAGGTTATCTAACAATAAATATTAAGATTTTAATCTATCAGATACCAATTACACCGAAATACACGGTTTCTGATAGGTTGAAATCTTAATATCTATTCCTGTTCCTAATATTTCTTCCATTGTGCGCAGGGCCTTAGCCTTATGTATTATGCAGTCTTACGCAAAAATTTATGCTGTGATCTTATGGCTGAAACACGCTGCTAAAAAGTCGTTCACTAAATTCATTCACTCACTAATGTTTTTTGCCATGCAAATCTGATTAATAACCTAACTATTAGTGACCCTATATGACTGCGGCCATAATGTTCACTATAATCGCGATCGATGTAATTGCTCTAACTGAAGTATTCTATAATTTAATAACATGTAAAAATATTTCTGCTATAAAAATTTTGTTTTATTCTTATTATAGTAAAATTTGATAATATCACTAGTTTGGAATTCAAACAGCATAATTATTTTCTAGTCTTCCATGTAGCACGTTTTATCAGAAAGATATCCTACCCAGCAAACATGACTTGGCACTGTTATATAATTTTTTTGTTATTATTCAGACATCTCTGTTTTATAACAACAAGACAAGTGCAAATTAATTATTGAAAACAATGATACGAGATCCAGGAAGAAGGCTATAAATAAAAATCTTTATTTTTAATTAAAATTTGAAACAGTTTTTGAATTTTATTTATGTATTTTAAAGTTTTTCTTTTTTTTTTTAATTTGGAGACTTTACAATATGAGAATTTTTATCATTATTATCATATTGCGCAACATGTAAATATTTTTGCCGATTATCACAATATGTTTTACTGCAATATACATCATCAAATACAAAAATCAGAGTAGTAAGTATTGATACACCAGCAAAGATAATCCACATGATCAACTCTAAAATGACCTGCGAAAAAGATATAACAAATTTTAAATGAATTGAAAAAAAAAAATATATATATAAGTAATAGACAGAAATATTGAAAGAATTTTAAAAAATGTAAAAATTATATTGAATATTTAATCCTTTTTTAATAATCAAGATATTAAATAATTTTTAAACATTACCTCGATGATCGCTCTCAAAATCGTTATTATATATGGCCTTTCAGAAATCCATTCCCACATCATGAACGGCAATAATATAAGAAACAATAATAAGTCAAGTACGTGTATGATAGTTATAGAAATAATTTTGTTTAGTTCAATCACAGTCCATATTCTTGTATACATGCTGATATATAGATAAAATGTATATATATATATATATATAAGTTAGTTATATATTTTAGATAAAATAAATTCTTAAGATTTAAGTTTAATGAATATAAGTTACATTTATATTTATACTTTATATATATATATATATACATACATAAAAATATGGTAAGAAGGTTAATACATAATTAAATAAATAATTAACAAATTAAAGAAATATTTTACTTACGTGATTATTAATGTCTTAATTTTTTACATTTCTTAAATAAATTATCTTCTATTGTATATTTTTAAGTTTAATGCAATCGTTCTTTTAATTCATACAAATAGATTTGGAATCTAGCCTATACTGTCAATGAATAATCGAAATATTGGCGTAATTATTTTAAAGCATTTTGCAATGTATCTTTTTCTAAAATAGCATGATTAATTTTTATCTGTTGTATATTTGGAAACGAAACGAATAGTATTAAGTGTATTATTAAACGAAAATTATAACACGTGCAATTTATATATGCAATTTTATTTAGTACACTGCAGCTGTCAATTAATAAACTTGTCATTAATGGTTAAACCATGATGGAAGAAACTCAGGTGTGCTTGTTCTTGAGACAAATTTCATACGATTCTGCGCAGATTCCAAATGCGGCCATTTAAACATTTGTGCCTCGGTAATTTTGAAATGACAGCTCGAGAGACCAAAATGAATATGTACTAGCCAAATAAAAACATATAAAAATGATCATCAAAAAGAAGAATCTAGAAATATGTATTTTTATCACTTCAAAAAAGAAAGCGTTAATATTAAAATAAGAAGAAGCTCATGGAAAATCAATTTGTATTATGGCTGTGTGGTAGACGTGTGGCGAGCGCCTCTAATAAGAGAAAAGTTAGTATCCATTGCTGAGTCTAACAATCTAGACAATCTAGAAAAGGCAATTCAACTGCTCGTCACGAACAAAACTAATAGCTAGGCTCAGATCAAGAATAAATGCGATTAAGACGCTGGTATATAGATAAAGACAGAGAAATGAGTGCCCTGATCAGAGTAATGCAGTTTCTTTTTGGGCGATCCAGGTCACCACAAATCCGGGTCAATCGATCGAATTCTTATCGCTAAAGGCCGAACCGTTTGCCGACAGACAGAGCGTATCCTCAATCAGCCGACAGCAACAGTAGTTGCAAAACCGTGCGAACACTACATCATTGCGGAGTGCATGACATTATGCGGCCGGCATCATCTCGTGCCCGGAGCACTTGACGTGAGAGTGCAGTGACCATAGAGTGGCCACTTTATGCAGTAACGTCTCAATGAGAATTCTGCTTACTGTCAAAACATCGAAAATATGATTCCATTGTCGAAATAAATTTCCATCGAATGGGTTTTGTGAAAAGTCCATTAGTCCGGTAACTTCAATAACACTCCCGAACCAGCTGCGATTCGTTCACTTTCAGTTAAATCGATGAGAGTATGTTAGCTTCCCCGTCGTTGGGATTTTTACATGAAGAAAACGATTTTATTCAACTATCTAAAAATTTAACTAGATATATCATTCAGATAAATTCGAAAATGTGTGTTTAGATTCCAATCAGCACACAATATTTTTTAAATGTTTTTAAAATGTTTATTTAATGTAAATATATTAAATAAATATTTAAAAAATATTTTTTAAATATTGTGCGCTGATTAAAATACTTTAGAAAAATCGTTCTTTTCGTATATGTACTCTCGGAGTACTGAGCCCTCCCACCACGTCAAGGCCATACCTGTGAGATAGAAGATATTATCATAAAAGGTGCACGAAAACGAAAAATTAATTAAATTATTAATTATACAAACTATATTTTATGAAAATAAGAATCGCATGAATTTTGCGTTATTTGCTATTTATATTAACGTTACTTTTTTATGACTCGTGTGTTACCGTTCAAAGTATAATCGAGAGTTATACTCAAGCAAAAACTTTTTGTTAAATAAAAGTAATTATCGTCCCTAATTTTCGCGAAATAATAATAAATCCTGTCTTTCTATCGCGTTTTGATTCCAAATGATTGAATCATACGAAATATCTATTAATTCCGTACACTAAAAAGATCTTGCAGTTACAGCGAAAATTATCTAAGTACGAAAAATAGCTGGAATAAATAAATTTCTAGCAGATACTGCGATATTGGATATGTATTGCATCTAATCATATAGACGACAGAGATAGAATTTAGATTTGTGCTATAAATTCTATGCGTATGATGTATAATTTTCTATCAGATACAAAAAACAACTATAATTCTAGCTGGATACAGCAAAATATTTTTTTACGTGTAATATATGATTGTTCATGAATAGTTAATCGTGCAAGCTAATAATCGTATATCGTGAGTATTCATAAAGTACTATCACGAGTATCATTGCACAAGTGGCGATAAAGTAGAGCAAGAAAAATTATAATAACTCGATACCGAGAAATTTAAAAATTTGTAAATATATATTCGAAAGATGTATAAGAAAGATGTATCAAAAAGTGCATGACATTATTGCGCGATCGATCCATAGAATATGAGACCTGTTCTTTTTAGTTGAACTTTTGCAGTCGAAGGTTGAGAAGTAACGTGTTATTTGTAACGACGTTACATTTTCGTTACTTTTTGGGGGTAACGATTTGATAACGATGTTATTTTTTTTTTATTAGTAACGAAAAAGTAACGAACATTACATCTTCTTCAGTAACGAGTAACGAAATTAACCCCGTTACTCTTGTAACCATGACTTTTTTATAGGTCACGGCCGTCACGGACAATAAAGATTGTAGGTACTAAATAAGCAAAGAATTTTGAATTCACTAGATATTTCAATTGTGATACAATAAGCGATTAGTTTGTTATAACTTTATTCCTCTCTTTATAATTTTATATAAACTTTATATTACACGAAATATTTAATTTTTTATAATATAAATTTATACCGAAACATTCTGCTTCTTACATTCCAAATTAATTTTACTTATTATAGGATACTAATTCAACATAAAGAGTAAAATCTTATTCAAAAAATAGATATTACGACCCTTATCGTAATAGCCTTATCTAAATAGCCTTATCTAAATAGCCTTATCTGAAATTCTATTTTATTGTTTAATCTAAATTATTTTATCAATAATACTTTTTTATCAATAAGTCAAATTTTTACGTTTCGAGAGGAATAAAATTATGTTATTTTAAATAAATAAATAATAAAATTCAATTTGTAATTTTAATCATTTAACTATTCAAACATTTGCACCGCGGTAATTTTGAAGTAACAGCTCGAGAGACCAAAATGAGTATTTGCCAAATAAAAACATGTAAAAATGATCATCGGAAAGAAGAATTTAGAAATACACATTTTTATTTCTTCTCAAACAAGACAGCATTAATATTGAAGTGGGAAGAAGCTTGTGAAAAATTAATTTTTATTACAAAAAATCAAACCAAATTCATTATATTATACATTGTAAGTAAATATAATTAAAAATCTCTGAAAACATAAAATAATAATGACATAAAGCCTAATTTAGTTTTATTAAAAAACGCATCGAAAAAATGATGAAAAAAGTCTAATCTTTTTTTTTCCAAATAAATTTTACTTTAAAAAATTTTGTAATTTTTTACTCGGAGCGAGGTTTACATAAAAGACTAATCAAATATGATAATATACCTTATTTATTTTGTTTTAGATCGTTTGGATAGGCTACAATGTCAACGGCAAATTATGATCTCGCGAAACACCTTATGCGATATAGCATATGACTCGGCGGGCAAATGTTAATAATATCTTTCGAAAAGTTTGTACTTAACTATTAAAGGTGTATAAAATATATATCTATGTAAATGTATACCTTTAAAATTTATCGGAACGATACAATTTTTCCCAAAAAAATTTCCCCCATTTCTGAATGCTTTATATCTGCAGGATCTCTCTTTAATTGATCTTTTTGAGCAAGTTCATACAACCTATCTTTATTATAATTAAATATAAAATATTTATTTAATAATTTTCAAGTTATTATATAATAAAGATAAATAAGAAAACGTTATCAAATTTATATTTCATTTATTTAATAGCAATTACATTTAGTACGTAAGTCTATTAACGATTTTGTTTAGAATATACGAACTAATTTAGAGACGTAAGTCAGAATATTATCATCTAAAATTAAAATATTAATTTGTATAATACTTTTTGGCATCGTGCATAAAGCATAAGATAATGCAGATTTTAACTTGCATAAACGCAAAATAGTACTTATCAAATTTATAATTTCAAATACTTACACAATCTTACTCCTTTAGTAATGTATAATAAGTTATCACTACATTTATACTTTAATGCAATTATTTAAGCATCATCGATAATACGAAAACTCAACAAAATATGAAATTATAGAGCTGTAGATTTTTTGTAGATTTCATATATTTAATGAAACAGAATTTTTTGTAAAGATAAAGTTTTACTGTAAAGGGTTAAACGTCTAAAAGATTTATAAAAATAATTTTAACAAATCTAAAAGAGTAAGATTTCTGTCTAAATATAGTTACTAAATTAAATATAATTAGTTAATTTCTGTAGAATAAAGAATATATATTCATATTATTCTTATAATAAAATCAATTGGTCACTCGATGATGATAGCAAGGTTGATGCGTCGTATATAAATGTCTGTGATTTCTATGTAATACATTCCTCGCGTGCTTCCGTCTTCAGCTACTTGCTGTCTATGGACGAAAAGCGGTCTAAAAACCTTAGAATCTTGTGCCTGCATATCTTCTGCTTCGCTAACAACCTTCTTTTCGACCTTGTTCTCGGATCCCGTACGAATAGATCTCCTTATTCTAACATTTTCATTTCTTGAGTCTAATTTAGCAGCTTGGTGATCTGTGCTTGACAATGACAATCTTTCTATAAAGCCGTTGGTCTCCATTTTATTCTTCGGTATTCCATAAGCTTCCACCTATAAAAGATTCATCCTTCATTGTATACATTTACAATTATTACGTAGATATGAGATATATTGTTTTATAATTTTTGTAAACATATCTTATCTTATGATTTAAATCAATAACGTAGTGTAATATAATATAATTGCAACAATATATTGTTGTGATATAATATGTTAAATTATATAATTATAGAAATATTTTTTAATCATTATAATTTATTAATATAATTCTTCAATATAATATGTATCTTATATTAACTTATATAAATTTATATTTCAAGTCCCGATATAAGATTAAGATGAAAATTAAAAAAAAATTCAAGTCATGAATTTAGGAATATATTACATTAATTGATTAAACATAATATTTACCAATCGACCACTTTTTAAGCTGCTATCTATGCGATCTTCTCCAAGCTGCAATCTCTCAATAATACCGTTATCTTGTAAATGCTTTTTCGGTAGACCATATGCACGAATGCCTGGTTTATCTTCTTCATTAGAATCCAAATGAATTCTTCGTACTTTACCATCCAATCCAATTTGATTGTAGATTTGCACCCGCTTGATATCTTTTTCGTGATCTAAGAATTTGTCCGATTGTATGTAATCTGGTTGATTGATTGATCGATCGGAATTTAATACGCTTGTGTGGTGGTGACTTCTCGCATTGCTTAAGCTTAGCGAGATAGTCAATAAAAAGAGCTGAAAAATAGATTAATAAATAATAATATTTATATAAGCAGATAACGCTTGTTTGTTTGTAAAGCAATATATCCATAATTTAAAACAACCAAGAGCGAGCAAATAAGATATTTAAATAAGCAGATCCTTTTTAACTATTTAATGAAATAGCAAATATAATAGAATATAAATACGTTTCGACTCACAGAGTCTTTATCAGTTATAATAACATAAAAATTAAAACTTACAATCTTAAATCTTACATCTAATTATAAAGTGACAATGAGAGACAAGTCGGTAACCAGATAGAATTTTCTTTACGCATGTGATGTAGTAATTAGAGCAGGCATAACTGTGTCCAACAATAAAATATAACTGCATTACTTTTTTTGATAACTGTAACGGTAACGTAGTTACATTTTTTTATAACGGTAACGAATTTTACAGTTATTTTTATCGTTACTTTGCACACGATTGGACATGGTTCGATTGGACACAAGTCACTTAGTGCTTGAAACTAAAAATAAGCTCCTAGGCATCCGTCCGCTGTGATTGGTGGTTGTCGATTTTAAAAAAGTAACGGAAAAGTAACGAAAAGTTACTTCCTCAAGTAACAGTAACTGTACTTTTAAAAATTGGTAACTATAAGTAACGGTAACTTTTTACTTTTTCTACTTGGTTACGAGTACCTATAACTTGTTACAAAAAGTAACTTTCCATTTCCTGATTTTTAGTGACTTAAATTTAACTGTCTAGACAATATTGACCTTACAATTTACATAGGACTTAACTTAATTCTCGCTGTCAAACGAATTTGTTATTGGACTTTACATTTTGATGCTAACTACTTATATTTTGTTGTTGGACATGGTGTATCCCTGCATCTTTAATTACCACATCATATACGGAAAGAACCAACTTATCTCTCATTGTTACTTTATAGTTAGATGTAAGATTTAAGATTGTAAGTTTTAATTTTTATGTTATTATAACCGATGAAGACTTTGTGAGCCGAAACGTATTTATATTATGTTATATTTGCTATTTTATTAAATGTTAAAAAGGATCTGCTTATTTAAATATCTTATTCGCTCGTCTCTTAATCGCTTTGAATTATTAAAATAGATTAATATTTATATATTTTGCTTTTCTATTTATGAAGATGTTAATTTTTATATTATTTCTATTTTTAAATGCAGATTACAATATCGTATCAATAAAAATATCTTTTTATTTTATTTAAGAAAAGAGAATAGATGAAAAGTGTTGATATTAATAAATGTGTACGTAAAAAGATATACGTACATGTTAAATTAAAAAATCAGGTCTTTTTAAATTCTCTCGAAGTTGACATAGTCTTTACTACATGACGGAACATATAAATGTTATCTTCTGCGGTTTGACACGATAACTTTAATCACGTCTTAATAAAAACACGGAAAATGAAATATTTCCTTAAGCGAATATACTCTAATGCCATTTAGATAATTGGAATAAAAAATGTCATTCTTTTCTTGATGACTTCTGTGAGTTTATAGAAAATCAATTTTGATTCAATGATAATTTTCCTGTTTATTTTATGTCTTAGTATCTACTAATGAGAGAGAGAGAAGACAATAAAATAGAATTTCATTAATTACATTTTTACGACTTCTATTTTTAGTGATTGATGAAGACATTTCGCAATATGACATCTCTCATCATCATGAATCAAAACAAATAAATAAACTTTATGCGCAAACAAACAAGAAATTAAAATTAAACTTTAATTTAAAAAATGCTTAATTTAAAATGCTTAATAGAAGCAATTAAAACAAAAACGAAATATTGTCGGAAGATAATGAAATTAATATTATTTTTTATTTTATTATTACGTTAATATTTTTTATTACCTATTTATTATTTTATCTAATTACTATATTTAATTAAATCGATTGTTATAATTAGACAAATTTGTTATATTTTTGATGAAATAATTAATACAGCATTACAGTCATATTTTTAAATAATAGTTACTTTTTAAAGAGTTATATAAAATTGGTTATTATAATTTTGTATATTTTATTACATTTTTAATATTCATTTTATCATTTTAACATAATTTATACTCAATTATATTATGTTAAATTAAGCGGTAAAGAAGGAAACAGCAATAATTTCAACTTGATATATTATATTTAAAACTATAAAATATTTTAAATATAATGTCCAATCAAAAAAATTGTTTTTCATATGGAAGAAAAGGTAGAATTTGAAAAATTAGATTAATTATTCGATAAATTATATCATTCCTGATCCTTACCGTCAACGTCAATCTCATTGTACAGTGATACTTCCTCTCTTCCTGTCGCGAATGTCTTGATTGCAGCTCGCTCTCCAGTTCTTGCTCGGACTCTTAGGCAGCGTTTGAGGGGAAAGATTGACCGCACAACGGTTATATACCTAAACCGGCTGCGATCTCGAAGAACGCAATTAAGTTAGTTTCACACAGGAGTCTGTGATATGCAGATTCGTTGTAAAGCAAGAGCAGTCTTGTTCCTGGTAAAAATCCCGCCACTGCACTGCGTGAGTCTACAGTGAATCATCTTCATAAACGAACCGCAAACGGATGAAGAGACTCGAAAATTCATAGTGTTTCTTTTGCTACCCAAGATCGGTGAAAGTCCTCGATAGAAAAAAGATGTCAGGGGAAGGGAAAGGGAAGCAAACTTTCGACTATATCTGCGAAATAATACTTTCAGGATGTTGTGAATTTTACGAAATTTATACAGATGCAGAATTTTTGAACATACCATTACTACTACTATAATTTATTATTATAACCTATAACTTATAATAACTTCTTATTATAATTTATTATTCACTTTATATCTCAAATTGAATTTTTTGGAAAAGTTGTATGGATTTAAGTTGTACATTGTAATATAAGCGAGATAAATAATAAAAAATAATTCTATAATAAAGTAGTACTTATACTATTATATATTAAGCTTACGTTCACATAACTTTTGTATTATTTTAACAAAAAATTAGAAATTTAACAATTGGAAACTGAAGACATTTTTTTAGTTTATTATGAAACTTGGTTTTTACGATGATACAGATACCAAAACTACCGACTTTAATGTAAACTAAGGATTAGGCATTTTCTTGTAATGCACAATGAATTCTGCTAGTGTTAAACGCTTATTCATTGAACGCTAAACATTTGTACGTACGATTCGCACGTGTTGCATATGCAAGTGGTTTTCCCACTCTTCCAGTGATGGTGACAGTGTTTCTCATTTAAAAGTAATTCTAATATAAAGAACAAAAATAATAAAATTTATTTTGTACCTTTTACTATCGATACCTATATAAATAATATGTTGTTTTATATTTAAATTTTAATTAAAATTATTATTGAATGATTTACGAGGTACACATTTATTACTCTAATTAAGAAGTCTAAGGACATCACGAGAAATTAGACAATCACTGTCTTACGTCGCATGAATGAATAGATGAAGGAGTGAGTGACTAACTATTCGCCCCGAGGGCATTAACAATGACACGTTTACTACAGACTGCAGTAATTCTACCGTATTTCTAGTAAGTACGCCAATAATCGTTCAAACGATTTGCCAATGAGACCTTGACGTTCACAATTTTATTGTCATCTAATATTAGGAACTGTACCTATGTTACAAACATTATTCTTTAATATGTTATGCATTTAATATTAAATGGGCCATTAAAGAAATATTGATAATATATAAATATTAAAATTCTACTTTAATAGAGTTGTTATAATAAAATATAGATATTATTTTAATAAGAAATATATAATAATAATTTTTATAATAGTGAAACATAATAATTCGGTATTATCATGAAGCAATGCTTTATTTATTGCAAAATTAGTTGCAACAATTATAATCAATCATACAAGTCATCGTTTAAGGAGTTAAATATTTTTTTAAGCAATCGTTGAAAAATAATATAGATTACTACTTTCTTCATTTCTGTCAGGTAATAAGATTCAAATATAATTATGCACACTAATTACCCTACTTTTTAAGTATTGCAATATATACAGCAATATATACAGTGCTACTTTTGAAAGAAGTATCGATTTTATTCGTTTTTCTCATGAAAACAGTAGAAAGATATTAATCTGCATCCTCGAATTTATATATTTTTTAAAACGGCATATTTATTTTACACAGATTTTATGTTCCGCTTTAGAATATACGTATACTGACACACGTTTCATTTATATCAGACGCTCTGATAAACACTCTCTAAATATGCAGCTATATATCTCAAGATACGATCTAGTAAATGTTAAATTAATTCCAAAGCTTCCTTTTTTAGAGGTTTAAATTCGCGACCATTTAACATATACACACATTCTATTTTGAGGAATCCATACGTAATGTGAAAAAACGTGTTTTATTAAATAAAAAACAAGGAATAATTCTTCGAGTGTGTCAAGTTTAACTCTGACTATGACGCATAACTGAGTTGCGTGTTAATTAAAAACGATAATAACAGATAATTATTGCGATTGCTCATTTAAATATCATATAGTATAGCATATAGATATTTGGAAGAAAGAACGGGATTAAAGGACGGGGGCAAAGCAAAACTAAGTAATTTGTAAATATAATTTATCTTAATTTATTTTTTATTTTCCATTTCATAATTGCTCAGTTACAATTATATCGATATTTTATTAATAAATATTTATTAACTCAAACATTAGTCTAGTCCATTTTATCATTTAAAGACTTAAAAATTTATAGACTTAAAAATCGAGTTAAAAATGTAAAAATCGCAATAAACAATAAATTTAGTAAATTATATTTTTATATAATTTAAATTAACGTATGTAGTTTAACTTGACAATTATGAAAGGTAATTATTTACGCTTTATAAATTATTATAATAATAATGAGAACGTTCACTACTGTTAAAATACTAATAATAATCATTGGAATATTAGGGTCTATATCGATAATTTCGTCTCGGATAAGAGCGGTCTAAAAACAATATCTGCGGCGACTTCCATATCGTGAGGATCCTTGGGATAGTTAATGTCCGCATCCGAAGTCCAAAAAAGTGGTGTTATAATATCAACATGAGGCATTGTGGTAGGCAACAAATTTTCGGAATTAATATCATTCGTGTACTTGGTCTGTTTTATACTTGGTTCGTACAGTAAAGGTGATACTTCCTATGATAAAGAAACATTTTTTAATCTTCCTCTGAATATATTCATTTTTATATCTTTAAACGCAAAATTTGTAACTAACTTTAATTTAATTACTTATAATTGTATTGATCGTAACGATTATAATTTATTGCAATTTTGAAATATTATCTATAAAATACGAGTATACTAATGTTTTTATAGTTTAATTTTAGATTTAAATTTTTTCTGTAGCATTATTTTCTAATATCTAGTAACGTACATATAATGTAACGTTATGTAAATTTAATCATAATAATTGAAGTAATGAAGTTTCTTTATAATTACGTTTTAAGCAATTGTCCATCAAAATTTCATAGTTCCTAAAAAATAAAGAACTTAAAGAAATTATTTTAAATATTGTGAGAAATGGATTTACCTTCGAAGAGGATAGACCAGGTCGCCAATTATTAGGATCCACGCTCCACGAGCTTTCATCGACGTAATTTTGAACATTCCGTTGAACTTCGTCACGGTTGTTCTCCAATTGACTGTTTAAGATTTCATCTTGCGTTGGTAATACTGTCGCGATTGGCACATTAATTTTATCATCAGAAATTTTTGCGGGTTCAAGGAATGCAATGATTGGTATCGATATTGTGAGTGGTGAATGTTCCGAGGGCACTATTTCCTGACTCGGGTTTGGCACGAGATATGGAATTTCTTGTGGAATGTTATCGATAAGGAACGGCTTCTGCGTACTTTCAGATATTTCGGTTGATGCTTCGTATAAATCATCGTGCTGTAATACATAAGACGAAAGATCTTTACTTTCCTCGAAGATCATATGCTTGATAACATTACGTCAATCCACCACATGTTCTTTAATAATTTTTTTATAAGTTACATAGAACATCGACGGTTGATATACATCAGGACAAATGTCGATCATTTATATACACAAATTTTCAAGGTTGGCAAGTAACGCGTTACTTGTAACGCCGTAATTTTGTTGATCATTACCTTGTTATAATAACGATTTGATAATAACATTGTGAATTTTTTATGATGCTAACATCAGAGTTAGAAAAGTCAATCGTTACTTGTAATGGATTGAAAAAGTCATTACTGAAAAAAATAACTCCTAATTTGTAACGCGTTACTTTTTAGTAATGAATAACGTTACGCGTTACTCGTTATACTTATAATTTTTTCGGTGTAACGCATAATAGTGACAAGTTACTTTTCAATGTGACTTTTCTAACTTTAGTACAACCTTAGTGTTTAGTTAGTTAGCATTACCGTCATAAAAAATTGCAACATCTTCATCAAATTATTTACTATAAAGAGTAATGACAAAGTAACTGAAAAGTAACGTTTGCCAACCCTGCAAATTTTAAAAGTACAGACACGACACTCGATATTATTAGTGAAAGTCATTTATTAATTCTGATATTAAAAATATATAATCTAAACGTTTCGGTCAGATTTTCTGACCATCATCAGTAAAAAAATTATTTCCCGATATTCTAATTAGCGCTGGTGTTACAATAGTTTAAACCTGTCTTCACTTCTTCCGTTAAAATGATGGCGAATGTTCCATATCGATTTCGAACAAATCACTCTACTGTGTCCATAAAATTCCTTTGGTTAAGATAAGGCTGTCCTTATTGTACACGGAGAGAATTTTTTCTTAGAGTTTATCTTGAAAATATGATAGTCGTGAGACAACAATGTATTTTCAAGAATTTTAATATAAATCTCTCTCATTCATTAATAAAACTTCAATAAAGTATAAAATAAGTTTGATTAATTTTACTGAAATGCATTGTAAAAATCTTTAAAATATTGTATTGTATCACAACTACCATATTTTCGGGGTAAATTTTAAAACAAAATTCTCTCCATGTATTAAATGGATATCCTTGTGTGATAATTTTTTCCCGAATGTTATGCATACGCAATATTACCAATTACTATATTAAAATTAATTTGAGTCAGAAATTACAAAAATTTTTTACAAAAATATTAGTTTGAACTTTACATCAACAACAATTAAACATACCTGTGCTAGCAAACGAACAGTAACGCAATTAATAACGTTTAGATTACATATATTTTTAATGTCAGGATTAATAAATGACTTTCACTAATAATATCGAGTGTCGTGGCTGTATGTACTTTTAAAATTTGTTTATTTATTAAAGCCATCTTATAACTTTGAATTAATTTATATATAGTTCCCAGGCAACACGCATGTTTATAAGACGGTCTTTATGGCCAGTATTCGTAACCCGTTTTTATTTCAAACCTGTCTTGTAATAAGATGCTAATAGTTCTGATTGATTTATGATATCTTAAGACTGTATTTAAGACGATCTTATATATAAGAACGAAATATCAGCCTACGACGTCTTAAACATGTATGTTATTGGGATATAAAAAAAGATATGTTACGATAATGGAATATCAATATCAACATAGCATTTTTACATATTTTACCGAGTTTATGTATCCATTTTCGCCGTTTTCAGTAAAAAATTGAACATCTGTAGGTATTAAATCATCTACATCAGTTTCTGCATTCACAGTCTCTGTTATGTTTTTCCGTACATCCTCTAAATCCGTCATGGGAACGATAAGAACCTGCTCACTCTGTGACACCACCTTAAAAAGATTTTACTTTTAAATAACAATGTAATAAATTCGAAAAATTAAATATATTATAAACATATGCTAAATTTTTTTTTATTTTCCTAAAAACAGTTATTTATCTTTATACTAAAAATAAATCAGTGTAATATAAAGCAACAATTGATAATTGCGACAACAAAATTATGTAATTCTTTTTAATAACTAATTAGCATTTCCAAACTTCTGTTATGTAAATGATTAATCATGAATCATGCTATGAATTAGTTTGTTATTGTTAATAAAAGCTAATGATACTAGTCAGATACTAATAATTAACAAGTATATCATTAATAGCAGCAGTATTCATTTGTATTTTTAAATACAAATGAATACCGTGTTCTTTATGAGCAGATGTACAGAAATGTTGGAGTAATATTTATAATTAATTGTATATACATATAAAATATATAGAATATGATAAATAAACCTTAGTAGGTTCAGTGGCGGGCATAACAAGTACTTTCTTCTTTATCACCAAGCCTTCTAAAGATCCATTGCCAACTATATTTTGTACAGCATCTTGCACTACCGGATCCCGCACAACGGCGGCCAACGTATCATTCGTAGTCTGAGGTTCCGTTGGTAACAAATTTGCAACATCTTCATAATCAATAGGTTTAGCATCCGATATGCACACGAATAATACGAAGATCACAAAAAACATGATACTTCCAAGCTATAAAATGCAATCAATGATATTTTAAAAATACGAGCTTACGTTTTGATTTGAATGCAATTAAAAAGCAGTATACTTTAAACAGATTAAAGTTTAAAATAGAATTTACTTTCACGAGATTTTAATTCGATAAATTTAATTATTAAAAAAAATGTATTTAAATTTTTTATTAATGCACACATATACATATATTGATTTGTCATTAAAAAAAATTTTATCATACTACTATCAACTCCAAGTCAATAATTAAAGTGATTAAAGGACTTTTTAATTTAATAAATATTATACGTTCATGTACTTTTTATATTTCATATTTCTTATTAACTTTATAAGTATAAATAATCTTTTTCAAATAAAAAATTTGTATAGATTGCAGTCGATGACGCAAAATTTAGCGTATATTCTTCTTACATTTATATATATTGTGTTAATTGCTATATAAAAAGTGGACTTTTCAAATGAATTAATCTAAAAACGTACCGATGAGTCGTTTTTCATTTTGATAATAAAACTGTGCAATAATCTTCCTGTAGCTTCAACGACACTGCTTCGCCAAAGATTTTCCAGCTCTGTCAAGGTATAACGGATCATACTGGTTTTATATGACATGCTGAAAGAATTATCATTTCTCTGTTAATAAACGTGAGTATCAACCTCGCGGTAAACTTCGTTGCACGGATGCTGCATCATGAAGATCATACAGACAGACATAATTGTCAATCATATAATAATTAATTCAAATGAGTTATAATCTTGTATTTTTCATATTTTTTCATGTTGTATTAAATATTGATTTTTTATTTTGATTAATATATATGTGTTAGTATTTTATTTCTTATATTTTAGTAACTTTAATTAAAATTGTAGAAAATTGTCAAAGATTGGATATTCATTATATTTATCGTTTTAAATATAATTTCTCACATTCCATAAATTTATGAAACGGTTATGAAATAATATAACGTACAAGAACATTTGAATATTACATCAACTACTATTTGATCAACCACGAAAAAATATTGTACTTATGATTAGCGGTCTCTTAACGATATCGAGACTCGATAGTGTTTAGCAAGTAATTTAGCAATGAATCCTGAGTAGCAAGCTATAAAAGACTTGCTTCAACTTTCTGAGCCATTAGTTAGCAATTGGAAACTGTACTCTTTGTACCATCCAGAAAATCCGTGATTCAAATGGAACGCTTGAGCGTTATCCTCTTCAGTTTCTATTCTCTCGCGATCCTGACAGAATCAATGTCCACTGGATCGTCAGCAATGATTGAAACTTCATGGGACGATGTACATGACGTAAGAGATGTTAAAAATTACGTAGATCTGAAGCAGAATGTACAAAATAATACTAATTGTAAGTATCCTTTCATTGAAAATCCCATGAAGAACTCTACCCAGGTTGAAGAACACGCGAAGGATCCGTTATATTTGAATAACGCATCAAATGCATTCACAATTTCAACTGATGACTTTTCAAGCAGCAATATTAAAGATATGGAACATTTAAGACACAATGAGGATAAAGAAAATGATGCAGATCGTAAAGAAGAACCATCTGAAGATTTGTCGTCGCATGATATCCTACTGGATCCTAGTTTAATACCGGCTCGTCTAACTCGTCAAACTGAAAAAGGCGACGTAGACTACTCAAATCTCGCATCGATCTCCAGTGATGTTAAGTCTAACAACCATGACGATAGTAGAAGTGTTCTTCCATCGAAACGGAATCTGAACTACGAGGGTGATCTCAGCATGGCTGAAGATAGATATTCGTCTGCATATCCGTATTATCGAAGAGAGTTTCCGAATCAAAGATATCGAGCGAACGACAGAAGGGAACCTTATCGTAATTACTGGAGATACCCTGTATTTTCGGGAAAATAAATGAAAGTTTCTGAGTTTTTTCTTTTCCATTTCATTGAAAGGAAATTAAATTTGCATAGCTATGTAAGTAGAAAATAGTGATGACAAATATTCCTGATAGAGAAAACAGAGAAAGAAATATGTATTAATAGTAAATGTAAAGAAATAATCTTATAAACTTTTATAATTAAAATGATAAAATCTAAATTGTAAATCTCGAAAAGAGAGAAATTACTCCTAAAATAATTTTATCAAAGTTTTCTAATTAGAATGACATTTTTGCCAATAAAAGTTGATAATTTATAATTAAATTGAGCTGGTGTTTAATTTTTTTAAATCTTATATTTAAAATTTTTTAAAACAAAGCTACACTATCTTAAAATAAAATTAAATAATAAATTATTTTATTATTTTATTAATTTCTGTGTTCTCAATTCTATATTTTATTATTTTAATGAACATTTTCTTTTGAGATTGTATCAATAAGTTTTAGTATTACAAGAAATAATTAAGTATGAATTATATTAAGACATAAAAAATGTATCTATTATTTTAATTTATTATATGTTATGTATTTATGAATGATGATAGGAATAAGAAGTAAAATGAACATATAATTAACATTCTACATTTATTTATAAAATGCCATACACATATTTATTTCATTACGTAATGTAACATTTAGTCTCAAAGAAATCGTATCATAAATAATACTCTCATATGTACATTCGAGTATCCATTCGAGTAATATTATTAACCTATTTGCTTGCGTAAGACAACTTTGGTCGATAGCTTTTAATTATTAATGCTATTTTTAAGTAACAATCGATTTATAATTAAAGAAAATTCTAATTACATTAGAAATTATAAAGTAAATATTGTATATACTGCCGCTTCCTCTAATTCTTCTGTTTATTATTTTAATCAGCTCACTCTCTTGTATGTTTAATTTTAATCCGACTTAAATCTATAGGATTTTTATAAGAGATCATATGATCGTAAAATAACTAAATGCTTTCTTGATTTTTTGCTCTTGTTGTTCCGCTAATCGTTAAAAGAAAGACTCTTCTGAATCAGCAAGATTAGTTCACACCCGTTAATGTGTACCGTTAATCTCCATCGAAATAACGTCCACAACCTTTTAGCATAATTATACTAACAAGTTCAATACTCTTCGCTGATATTTTAAAGTTTACTCATTTTTCGATACAAAAGCTTCCTTTCCGTTACCGACTCTCTGTATTTTTTTCTATACTTCACATATTTTTTTTATCTCAGCGGTAAGCTCCGTCGACAAGAAAACAGTTTTATTTGCGCCCCAAATTTTCATATTGGAGCGAGTCTTCCGCTCCGCTGTTTATAAACTTGAGTTTTTATTCTTGTATGCTCGCGGCGCACCTATAAATATCTGCGAGCAGCAAGCTTTATCTCATACAGTCCTGGCGAGCTGTAGATATCAGTTTTGTTTAAAAAAAGTTCGTATCATAGCTTACTATTTTTCAAAATAGATGTCCGTATTTTGTTTAATCGAATCATTTTAATGGAAAACCATCTTAGTTTTTCCATAATTTATCCATTTTTCTTTGAGCTTCGCGTATCTTTATTTAAATTTCATGAAGTTTTTCTTGCCCAATCTTCTTTCAATCCTTCTTTAGGACTTTGAAGATCTTTAGGACCATTGAGGCTTTATATGAAAGTTCTCAAGTATCTCGAATGTATTATCCTCCCGATAATACCAAAATGAGATACATAACAATTAATTGCAATTGTTGAAATCTCCAAATCGGCTTTTGGTTCTTTTGTTTATATTCGTCTACCTCTACCTTGTCGGACAGCATCCCTGGCACGTTGTCGATACGCAACCTGTTGCCGATACACGAAGAGAGGACGAAGAACATTGGTACCAGCTGCAGTCTCAATATCATCATCATTTGCTTCCTCTATACTTCGTTTTTCAATGTTGGGAGTTGCGATACTATTCGCAACTTTAGAACCGTCATTTAATGCGTACATCGATTCCTTATTTATCAAAACTTGCGGATCATCTAGTTCTTGAACAACGAGCGGCACAACAAGTATGGGAGAATCATACATGCTCATCATTCTAAGAGGTGATGCGTAAGAACAGGCGACGAACAGCAGTGCGAAGACGATGAATGTAGCAGTCATCTGAGAAAGAAAAAAAAATTGTCTTTATGTCCACAGCATCGATGGATGTCTAAAGATTTGTAGATCAATAATTCATACTGAAAAAATATTACCCCAAATTTCAAATTAAACATAGGTATTTTAAAAAAATTCTTAACAGTTAGTAGATGTTCTCTGCATATTCCCAGTATATGTATATATATGAATGTATTTGTTAAAATAAAACGGATTTGCTTCTAATAATTTTTATGCATAATTTAAATAAGTTTCGAAATCAATTAAATTTTTTATTTTTATAAAAAAATTTTTTTTTTAATTTTTTTCATAAATCATAGAAGACATTAGATTTGTAATAAAAATAAAAACTATATACGTATATTTAAGAAAAATGATTTGTTTAAATTTGAGGAAAATATACTTACCATTCTGTATTTGAAAGTATCGAATTATATTGACGATGTGTGTGTTTAGCAAAAAAATAATCGTTTTCCCTCAAAATTAGATTACGCAAAAGAGGAAGTAACACGTTTCAATGCAAAGCATTTATTTAAAAATGCAATAGCACGTCGAGACAGCTCTCTCACGAGTTTATGGTGGCCGGGATCGGGCATTCAGTATTTATATGAAACAATGACGTCAAACCACAGCACGCTAATTATACCATGACGTTCTACGATGGGTGATAACTGACCTGGTAAACCAGCTAGACATGACACATCGGTGATCTATCTTGGGTGTACTACGATGCTCCTTGTTTTGCTGGCTTTGCAGGTGTTAACTTTGCTACAAGGAAACGTCCCCCTCGATGCTTGTCTATTTACACGTAAAATGTTGATAATTTAATATATGTCGATTCGCGCATGTATTCGGGATTATTCAAAATTACCGCGCAAATATCTGTATACGCTTATTGAAACAAAGTGACAGAATCATTTTACATTATTTTGCTAGTACATTCTAAAATATGGCTTTTTATTATCTAGATTTACAGTATCTTGCTTGTATCTACGATATATTTCCTGACTCATAAAGTATACCTTATTTAAATAAATTTATATTATTTTTCTTTTTATTTTTTATATTACAATATTATTGTATTTTTTAACTTTATTGAGTTTAAAATTAAGAACAAATTTAAAAAACTATATTTTTTGTTGTGGCTAATATTTTTTCATAACGAAGAAGTAATAATTTATTCAAAATAATTATAGAACAATCGATATACAGGGTTGCTTCTATATCAAAATCGTAATATTGAATTAACCGTGCATATATTTTATTATCTTAATACTTATTGTCGATTATTGCAAAGTTTAATTGAAATAAAAATAAATTCCACATAATTTGTTTTATTTTTAATTCATTACACAGGACATATTCTTGCAAAATATTTCATTATCTAAAACGCAGTGGTTAGACGTCACGTGATGCATGACATAAGAGAGAGCTATCTTTAAAACGCCACGTTATACAGTGTTACGTCACAACGCATGTGAAAATTTAATCTTGTTCTAATCAATATTGCATAATAATTCGTCATTTAAAAAATGTTCTCTCTTCTCGTTAATGCAATTAAAAAAAGTTTTGGTCCTTCGATGAAATAACCACGTAAATCTTTGTTTAATTTCAGCTCATTTTCAGCAATTATCCTATTTTGTGATAAAATACATTTATATATGAATTAATTAATGGTAAATCAAATGGAGAAAACGATGAAATTATATTAAATTTCATAAATGCATTTGTTGCTTAATTTTTATTCTCATTATTCTCAATTAAAAATTTTTGCTTTCTTTCAGTTTAAAAATCACTAAAAATTAGGAAAGGACAAAAATCGCGAGTCATTCATCCTTAAGTATAATCCAGGACTCGAGAACTCGCGAAAGCGAATATATGTACATCGTATTTCTGTGTAGCAAACAGTCTGATTTATTTATTTTTCTTTATTAAGTATTTTTATTGTACTAAAACAGATTCTCTAGCATGGTTTCCTTTAAAATGTGACAAGGCACACAACAGGATAATTATTCTATGGAAGGACGGTTTTTTCTGAATTTTTTTTCTTTCAATTTAGATGGTGGACTCAGCTTCCTCGTGCACAGATTCGCCGCTTTCGGTAGTTTCGCTTTTTGATCTGAAAGAAATTATCAGATAAGGATCTCTAAGGGCTTTAGCTGGATGTGAAAGACTAAATACGAGACGAAAAACGAGGGTAAAATAATTTGCGCTAGGTGATAACACGAAGGGGACTGTATGATTCGCATCGCTTATGAACATATATGTAAATATGTCGGGGTTTATATAATTTGAGAATTTCAAAATCTAGATTGCAAGGTAGGACAGAATCAGGGTCGTGAATCAAGGTGTTTATTTCGAAAATAGTGTAACTTAGATTCTTCAATATCAAGAATTGATGAAGTTATCAAGATTGCTTTTATGCAATTTTAGTATCTATATTATGTTTATACAATTTTCGAAATAAACGATCTAATCAACTCTGAGATAGAGAAAGATATCAATAACTGATGTACTATTACCATCTATCAGTAATTCACATAATAAAAATCAGATTCGTGACTAATTCAAAGTAACACCCAAAATATTCACTCAATTATATTGATATTAGTACAGCTGTTACTGTTGCCAAGAAACTAATCTAATTGGAGAATAATATGCGTACCAAGAGTCGTCAATTTTCAACATTATTTAAAAACCAAAATTGAACGCTATTTACAAATAAAATATAAATGCAGACAGATCCAAAACACTGTGATTTTTATTAAGATTTTACGAAACTCCTGGTAGACACTGAATTTTTTTGATAAATCATTAGACATTACGGATATTAAAACAAATCGTACTAAACAAAATGTTCCTACCCAATTTAACAATAATTCACCGCGCTAATTCTAATTAAGTCTATGTTTTTCTGAGCATATACAACAAAAAAGTATATCAGGTTAAACAATTCGAAATGCCATTGTCATGATTGTCTGGGATCTACTACTATTTGCGTCGATGATTCGTAAGAAAACATATTACCTGAATCCATAGTACATGAATCCGGACTATCCGCAGAAATGTATTTTGCGAAAATAAAAGTCGCGGTGAAAAGTACACAATTGTAAGAAATATGTGTTTTAAATTCATGTATAAAATCTATAATGTGAAAAATTCTACTCTCACAATGCTACTTCCAATTGTGTAAAATATCTGCCAAGTACTGCCTCTACGATAAGAGCGTTCTCGCAGGAGGGAATCATTTTGAACGAATCGGCCTGATGTATGTGCATATTTGCGAGATCATTGATCTTGCCGTTTCATTACTTCTGTATAAATAATTTTATTGTATGCAAATCGTCATGTGTCATCCATCGTGCCTATCCGTGTAATTTGTTTATATAAATGAAATTTCGATGAAGGAGAGGAACGATTACAGCGATTTAACGTTGCTTATATCGTTAAAATCCAATTAATTATTTGTGAACAAATAATATCTAATCTGATATCCAATATTAGTACATACTAAATAACACTTATTCGTAACGAATAAATATTAAAGAACAGGCTTTCTGTAAACAAAAGAATATTCCTAGAAAAAAATATAGGTATATTGCACTGTTCAAGAAATTGATGAGATTATAAAAATGTAGTGTTTAATAAAATTTCAAATAATTTGTAAAATTTTGCTCATAGTTTATGCAGCAAATTGAGACAATTTCTTGTTATGCTCTTCGTTCCTCTCTTCACTCCTATTCTCTTTTTTTTACCCAATTCTTCCTTTCACACATGTTTCCAATTTCCGTTTCCCTTCTTTTACTGTGCATTCAGTTTTCTATACATTAAAATACCATTCGACACTATAGCTCTACAACGATACATTGTAAATGTAATTAACTACTTCGAGTTGTGCAGGATGCAGAATGGGCTAGGGAGAGATATTACCCTTACCGACGCTGTGCGATTAATTGATCGCTTTTAAAAATCTTCTTTAAATTTTTAAAATAATTTTTAATATATATACAAGTATAATAAAAACAGCGTCAAAAGAAATTACGTTCTTCTATATAATTATTTTAAAGTATGGCCAGAATTTTTGATTCCATTAGCAAATTTTACAAATTCTTCTTGCAATTCCGCTGTCTTCTATCTATATAATTTTTAATATAATTAAAAATTATGAAAACAATCGTATATAAAATGCCCAATTGACGGTCTATTAATCGGACAAGCGTACAGCTTTCTCCACCTTCACATACTTTTGTCTTAATCCTTTCAGAAGCACGCTCACAATTATCTATTTTTTGTATTGAGATAAATCCATGTTTTTTCGCGTCGATAATCAACGATTGATAATCGTCAGTAATTGTAAAAAGGCCCCGTCGTATAAAGAATGCATTATGTAGATTAAACGACATCATGATTTATAAAATGTATGCTCTAGCTGATGCGCTTCTAAGAATCAAGGATCGTCAAATTCCTTTGTCTCCATTCTTACATCTGCCTAATGGGTACACTCGATTCTTATTATTAATCCGGCTGCCAAGCGTATCGATCGAATCATAAACATTCGATATCACCACGATGATTCATGAATATTGCTTTAAATTGAAGACATAAGTTCCTGCGGCTGTCAAAATTTCCTTGCACAAGATCAATCGCGCCTAGTTAATGATATAAAATCGATTTTTCTATCCGAGAATAAGCTCGATTATCGCTCACATTCCGTCGATACCCTGATGCATGATCGCTCGGCAATCCGGAGATTATGGTAGATTGATCAATTCGAAATGGCCTTTCTCTATAGACGAAAGATCTTTTATTTAAAAAAATATTATAGAATAACATGGCGAGAAAATTGTAGTCTACAAAAATCTGCTATTTTCATTATAATTGTTCCGTTCCAGAAATATCTTGCCAATAGTTTTTATGATTAAAAGACGATTTTATTGAAGAAACTATGTTTTTAATTATCAAAAAATACGTGTTATTCATAAAAATGTTGTGAATACAAAAAAAAAATAAAATTAATAAGGAGAAAAGTGATATTTTACGATTACTTAAATATAATAGGAGCACTTTCGAAAGTACCATTTCGAGTAAATCAGCCTTAGATTTACTAGATAATTATCTACTTATATATTGTCGGGTAATAAAAACGACTCGCTTTCACGGTGACTATGCTCTTCCAAAAAGGGGAGAAGTCGCTAATCGTTACACTATTCACCGATCGCTGTGATTTCCCTTCCCTCCCCTTGTTTGTACGAGTAGGCACTTAGCTATGTTTCTGTGTTTTTGTTTGTATAACATTATATCTATTGTATGCATACGAATAGTATAAAAGACTGTGTCGCTGGATCTGTTTTTTCGTGCCTTGTCCGATGCTGAATGTGAAGTTCATAGATACTTTTTCAAAAGTTTATAATTATATCGTGTGAAAATGAAAATAGATTGTCATATCTAATATTATTGACAAAAAACGATATTTTCAACGTAAAAATGAGAAAAGCTACTTTAAAATTGTATCTGAGAAATCAATTTCTGGTGTCAATGCAAAACCGTGCTTGCATTT